GGTTTTAAGTGAATGCAGCCAACGTTGTTAATCGAGTTGAGTTGCAAGCTAAATCCTGCCCTTGCTGGTCCTGGCGTAAGTGGTAGATACTGGCCTTGGCTTTGGGTGTGGTAGGCAGTGTCACTTTAGTGCAGGTCACCAGAAATCAACTCCTGTGACATCTCTGAATGGTGTGTCCTGTGCTGTCACAGGCAGTTTACACTCAAGATTCGACTTCTCTTAGGTTTGCAGTGCCTGCAACTCACCAGCATCTCTGCTTACTACACCCTGCTGCAGCCTAAGAGCACCCTCTGTGTGCAGAGGTCCAATTTGCTGTGATGGGAAGAATGCCTGACAGGACACAGGTGGTTTCTCCACAGTTTCTTGTCCCCATCATTGTCTGCCTTGAGTCTACCAGCCTTGCAGAACTTGAAGGCCATCTGTGCATTATTTTGTCACTATCATGTAAGTGTTTCCCAAACAGTGGGCAAATTCTGTGACTCTGGCTGTCCCAAGATGCAGCCCGTGTGGTCTGCACCCCATTCCCCATGTTTCCCACAGCATCTCCAGCCGTCCAGGTCCTCACAGCCTCACTGTGAGCTCCTACTTCTGGTCACAACTTCAGTGACCCTCCCTGGATCATGTTACTCTGGAAGCCTTTGCTCTACCCAACCTGACAGGGCATTCTTTGCTGTTGAGCTGTGCTTCATTTTTCATAGTAGACAGATATATTAAAGGAGGCATGGAATCCCATCCCAGTCTGGGGGAACTCTTTTTCTCGCCTGGGGGCCAGGCCACAGTTCCCTGCCATGTCCAGTGAGTGGGGCCACGACACAGAATCTTGTACCAGTCTGGTGGAACTCTCTTCCTGGCCTGGGGGCCAGACCACGGTTTCCTGACAGGACAAGCGAGTGGGGCCGAGGTGCAGAACCCTGTCCCAGCCTGGTGGACCTCTCTCCCTCACTTGGAACAACACTTGAAGCTGAAAAATGTAGGAAAATCACAAAGTGAAAGACAAAAATGCAATCTCAAACATCCAGCCCATCCAAAGAAAGTCTAGGAGCCATGTGCATAGAAGAAAACACATGCCACATACCTGAAATACCTGAAATAATAGTAACTGAAATAAAGAAGCAACTCTGTGAAGCCTTAAAGGAATTCAAACTAGAAATAATCTCTCAGGTAAAAGAAGGAATGATAAAAGAAATGAAGGAGATGCTGAACATATCTAAAGAAGACACAGTTAAAAAATTGGAGGAACTAAACAAAAAGATAGAATCCCTGGATGAACAATATAAAAAAAAACAGAATACATAAAGCAGATGCAAAGAGATATACCAGAAATTAAAAACTCCATTGAAAGTTGTAAAAACTGCCTCAACGAATGTGAAGATAGAATCTCAGACCTCGAAGACAAGATTGCAGCCAGTGAACAGGAAAGGAAAGATCTTTTAAAAATAACATGAAATCAGGAAATAACAATTCAACACCTGCAAGATGGCACAAAGAGGAACAATATAAGATTGACAGGGGTAAATGAAAAAGACGGGGACAACATAAAGGATGTCAAGAGGATATTTAGAGAAGTAATAGCTGAAAATTTCCTAAATATGAGATTGGAAACTGATATCAAGATCAATAAAGGATACAGAACTCCAAATAGCAATAACCAAAATAAAACTACACCCAGACATATAATAATGACCATCCCAGAAATCAAACAAAAGAATAGAATATTAAAAGCTGTCAGAGAGAAAAGACAGATCACCTATAAAGGAAAACCTATCAGAATCAAAGCAGACTTCTCAGCACAAAAAATAAAGTCAAGAAGAGCATGGAGTGAAGTATTTCAGATCCTAAAGGAAAATGATTTCCAACCTAGGCTGATGTACCCTGAAAAACTGTCCTTCAAAATCGATGGAGAAATAAGATACTTCCATGACAAAGAAAAACTTCATGATCACCAAGCCAACCCTTCAAAGAATACTGAAAGACAGCCTAGATACATTTACGAAAAAACCACTAAACAAAGCAGACAATTAAACAGAGCAGAAAGATAAAGATGCAACAGCAAAAAGATAACAGGACAACAATAAACCAATATATAACAGTTATAACCATTAATGTAAATGGTCTCAATGCACCAATTAAAAGAAACAGACTGGCAGAATGGATCAAGAAACAAAATCCAACCACATGTTGTCTACAAGAAACACATCTAACCCAAAAGGATACCCATAGATTGAAAGTCAAAGGATGGAAAACAATACTTCATGCAACAGGAACCCAAAAAAAGCAGGGGTAGCTATTCTGTTTGCAGACAATGTGAACTTCAAGCCAATAATGATCAGAAGGGATAAAGAAGGGCACTACATACTGATTAGGGGAAAACTCCAAGAGGAAGAGATAGCTATCTTAAATATATATGCACCAAACTCCAGAGCACCCAGTTATATAAAACAAGTACTAACAAAAATGAAAAACCAAATTAACAGTAACACAATTCTAACAGGAGATCTTAACACACCACTGACACTCTACAAACCTTGAAGACATAGGAGTAGGTTAGGAATTCATGAACAGGACTCGAACCACATGAAAATCCTTCCCAGAGTCAATAATTGAGATTGTCTCTTATTAAAAAGTTTCTGCATTTCAAAAGAAATCTCCAGCATAGTGAAAGGAAAACCCACAACCTGGGAAAAAATCTTAGTGAACTGCCTCTCAGAAAAAGGACTTCTGTCTAAAACATATAAAGAATTTTTAAAAAATCAGATCCCCAAAATTCAAAGACCCAATCCAAAAATGGGCATCTGAGATGAATAAGTAATTTTCAGATGAAGAAATACAAAAGGCAAATCAATACATAAAAAAATGTTCACCATCACTGGCCATTAGAGAAAAGCAAATTAAAACCACACTGAGATTTCATCTCACTCCTGAAAGAATGGCCAAGATCAAGAAAACCAACAACAACAAATGCTGGAGAGGCTGTTGGGAAAAAGAAACTCTTCTGCACTGTTGGTGGGAGTGTAGACTAGTGCAACCATTGTGGAGGTCAGTCTGGAGATTTCTCAGAAAGCTGGGACTGGAAGCCCCATTTGACCCAGCTATTCCTCTTCTAGGCATATTCCCAGAAGAACTGAAAGCATCATACCACAGTGATATATATGCACCCATGTTTATAGTAGCACAATTTGTAATAGCTAGATCTTGGAAACAACCTAAGTGTCCATCAACAGAGGAATGGATAAAAAAGTTGTGGTATTTTTATATAATGGAGTACTACTCCACTATAAAGAATGATCACAATGAGATATTTATAAATAAATGGACACAGCTTGAGACCATATTCATAAGTGAAATAAATCAAACTCACATGTATAAATACCGAATATTTTCACTAGTGTAAGAAATGATAAGAATACATAAAAGTATGTGGTAAACATGATTCTCAACCACATTGGTTTGAAGCCATATAATGTTTTCACTCATTAATTGCAATGATTTTAACTTGGGTTATTCGATTGTAGTATCGGTGATAGTACAAATAGCTATTTTGAAGAAAACAACACATAGTAAAAGCCAGTGCTGATTTAATATCATCTTGTTTTGAATTCCCATCAAGCTGTTGTACATCTGTTTCCACTGGCTTTAACATATTGTATCTTACTATACTTTACTATATGCGATAGTATAAACAAAAATTTTTATAGGCAAAAAGATAATATAGAAACTGTTGTTCATTTTCTGTTAACTGGTTCTAAATACCCTATAATTCTTTCATTCTCTTGAATGGCTCCCACTGTTTTGTTATGCTTAATGCTCTAGTATATGAAGTTATACTCAAATGTTTCAAGGAAAGAGACACTGTGGTAACTACTGTTATGTTAGATTATCTGGTGGTGAAACAAAATGATGCTTAAATTGTTCGGTTCTGACCTGCGTTGTTCTGTTATAATGTCTTCTTTTATCTCAATCTCCCCCCCCCCTTTTTAAATTAATCTATTTTTTCTCATTTTTCTAATTAAGGGAAAACTAAATTAAAAAATAGCGGGATATCTTATAGTAATTTTTTGTTTTCCTATTAACCTGATTTGAACCCCAGTATTGCTCTCCCCATCCCCATTTTGGTTGATAGTATCACGTTTGAGGGTATAGGCAACCACTTTGAAGGCAATACGATTTATTATGATGCCCATTATGGTTTGACTATTATCTTCTTTTGAAGTCCTGTAAGGTCTCCAGTGTAGGTTTTATTGGTTCTGTTCTGCACTGTTTTGATCAATTGTATTATACCTGAAGATAGAGGCAACTCTTTTTAAAAATGAATTTTTAAATGGTTACCATCAAAAATGGTAACCATTTTTCATCACCTGATATTCTATTTTTGCATCATGTACTATGCCCATCCTTCAGTTCTAACCGACTCTGTTTTGCTTAGTCACGTTAGGTTTTATTCTCTTCAAAGAAAAAGTAATAAGAACTGTGGGAGTAAAAAAATCCAAAAAGTGTAACTGTTATTGTATAAAAGAGAGGAAAGGAAGGTCATCTAAGGGATATAACTGCATGTATGTTTGAGTGTGTAGGATGGAAAAACATATTACTGAGATTTTGTTGGATCATTGACGGAACTGTCTGCAATCTCACTGTATGAATGTCCACTTTATATGCTTTAATTTTATAATTTGGACAACTGTTTCTAAGATGACAATATGTAACCTATTAACTAGTGATTTCTTAATGTATATTTTTTTCTTGTAATTCTGTATTACTTGTACCCTTTTACTGCTTTGTTTTTTTAAATTTCCTTTCTTTTTTTCTCTGTAAATAAAAAAAAAATATCAGCACAGTTCTTTGGCCAATTTTATGAAACAGAATTGACAACCAGTGCAGTGCCAGTCACCCGCGGAGAGCACACGCAAGGGAGGGGGCTTTCAGGGAACATGAGCATTAGAAAGTGGGGAGGCGCATGCGCATTGGGTGAAGCGTTCAGGGAGCATGCGTGTTGGGAGGGATAAACTCCCCAGTAACGGTAGTGGCCCTAACGGTTGGGCGAGTCCTGAGGCTGCCGTGGAGAGTGACCCACAGCCCCTAAACAAGGACTATGAGGAAATGGATGAGCGTTGGAGGAAGACCGGAGAAGCGCGTCCAGTGCCGTCCTTGACACCTCGCTCCTAAGGAGCCCAAGCAGCCGCGCGTGGACGAGGCCCAAAGCCCAGCAGCCCGGAAGGGACGCGCCCCACAGCCCCGAAGTGTCTGTGCTGGGCCTCGGTGAGCAGCGCGAGGGCGCGGGGCCTGCAGGGGGCGCTGTAGCCTGGATGGAGATGTGCCGACAGGGCCCTGAGGTAGGAGCTGAAGCTGCCTGAAGAATCCTGGCCTAACTCAGTGGCGACTGTGTTTAAAAAGTTGCCTTAGGGTCGCTGCTCTGACTCTGCCTCTGGACATTTCCCGCACCAGCCCACCAGTGCTTTCCTCTCCCTTGGGAGCCTGGCCGCATGGACCTGCCCTGCCTTGATGAGTCTCTTACCACAGTGGAGCAGTTGCCTCGGTCCCACCTGTGCCACAGCATGTCATGTCGCCCTCACCTGCAGAGCCAGAACTGACCTGGCAAACACAGTGCCAAGGCCTCAACTCGGAAACATTCACAGCCCGAGGAGCCTCAGGGGCCACACCACGCTGCCCTAGCTAACCTGCAAGATATGGACAGCTCTCATATTTTTGCATTTTTTTCTTTGTCCTTATCTGGAAGCCAGACCCACGTCCCCAGTCCCCACATGTGTGTGGCAGGTCCCAATCACAGCTGTCCCTGGGTTTCCTTCTCTCAGCTCACCAGTGTCAAGTACCAATGTATCTCCAAGAACAGTAGCAAGGGCAACGTTGGCCACGAGTGCCCAGACTGCTCCTGTGGCTGCTGCCAACACAGCTCCTCTGGCACCCTCAGTTCCTCAGCACACGCACTCCACAGTGAACTCTGCATTCTCTGTGGATCCCCAAGGATAAGGTCCCTCAAGGCAGGGATCAGTTGCCCAGCCAGTGTTTAGCACCCCAGGTAGGTTTACCTCTTCCCCCCTCAGACACCACTCTAAGAGTCCACCGCTGTCCCCTACATAGCTTTGATGTCTTCCACATCAGTGGCCACAACCCAGGCACAAGCTAAGGAGCCAACCACCAGCGCAATTTCAGTGCCTTCTGCCAGTCAGACCCCTGAGGTGGAAGCCACATCCCCCAAAACACTTGTCATCTACCCATGGAAGTGGAAGGCTAAGCACCCCCATACATCAGAGCAGGTGGAGACCAAAGACACATCTGGAACTGGCTCTGCTGTATGATACCTAGACCTCAGGGAACCCTTAGATGCCAGCTACAGGTTTGCACAGCCCAGCACCAAAGGCAAGTGTTAGGGTAAACTGAGGCACTATTGAGCTCACCGAGGCAGTGAGGCTTTTACTGCAGATGGGATGCTGTTGGGCCAAGGGCAAAAAGACCATTGGCCCAAAGCAAGGAGACAAAGCATGTTTTATGAGGAAGTTTAGGTATGGGAGGGAGGCACTGGTGAAGGGGTGCAAAATGTTGAGTCTCTGAATAGGGTTCTGGGGCTGGTTGACAGGAGAGTGTTAGTTATGGGACAGTGCTGGCAGACTCAGTGTATCTCGTGGTTTTTCATAGAATCGGCTATCTGCAGGTTCAGCTATGGGGGGCAGCTGCTAGCTGGTTGAGCTGTGTAGGAAAGCTGCTAGCTTCCTGTCAACACTGTGCACTTGTTGTGAGTAACAGATCTTCTTGGGGAGTTTCTCTGTTCTAGTTTGGCCAGGAATCTGGTGTAGAGACCTGACTTCCAGTACCTACTAGTCACTATTGAGAGTGTGTCCCCATCCTCAGTGATCAAAACATTCCTTGTTTTGGTGCTTATACTTGGGGTGACCTTTTGTCATCATATTGGTTTGATTTGCATTGCAAGCCTACAAGAGCTACAGGGAGGATTACACACAGGTGGTCTGTCTAATCAATGGAAGGTATAGAGACTTGGAGACATGAGTGTAGGCTGGGACTGGCTTGGGACCACCACAGTTTGGGGCAAGTCCAGCCTCTTCCTCTGCCTTTTTTTTTTTTGCCTCTGAGACCCAACCAAAAGCTTCTAGATCCTTTTGGTGCAATTTTGGAGATATGCAAGATGCTTAGACACATTTAACCACTGTCAGATTAATTCTGTGCTTACAAAAGGGTTGCTACTGTGTTATATTTATTTTTGTAAACAAGCAAATAATTCTGCTGTGCAGTGGGTGGGGTGGGTAGAAGTCCTGGACCACTTGGCCCACAGTGTGTCAGAATTAGAGTAATGGCTGCTCTCCACTTAAAAAATTATAAAGAACAGAAAATATAAATGTTATCTTAGGGCATCCAGTGACACAGTTTATAAAAATGACTAGCTGTCTCTTGTGGACAGATATGATATTGTTCTGCATTTAAAATAGAGTATGCTGTCAAGTATCGATATGCATTTACTTACATTTTGTTATGGAGTTTTAATATCTAAAACTAGGATTTAAAAAAATATAACCATTGGAAATCTTTTCCTTCTCCATTTACAGCCTTTATTTTCTATAGCTCGAGAGAGAACTAAATTATTACTGTCTCAATGAAACTTATTGTGAGGTAGTTCCTTGGTCAGGTGGCTGGAGATATGAATGGAGAAGTGGCTCGATCTCTCTTAATGCAAGTTGTCATTGATTTTCACCATGTGTTGGTTGGCTGATGTCCTGGTAGGAGAATTTGTCCTCATATGTGGTGTAGTGATGATGCAGGAGGAGTCTGTGTAGATTTTACCAGCTGTGTAACTTTGTCTTATAGACACATCCTGTAGTCAGAATCAGCAGGCCTTGGAAATCATTTTCCAAATCCAAGCTTCAGCATGCTGGAGCATATCATATGGAAGATACCTGATGAGTGAAGCAATGATTGACCAATGCAATGTTTCTGGGACTCAGAAGAGGCAGTTTATACTTCAGGATGGAAGTCGGAAAGGAAATCAGCAAAATCAGCAAAGGCTTTCAAGAAAAGGTAAGATTTAAATTATGACAAAGCGCTAAGCTTTGGTGTGCCACTTATGCCAGCAAATATTAGGGGCTGGAAAAATGGTAGGATGGAAATCATCAGCATCCCTCCACATGAGAACAGGTAGACTGGAAGAAGGTTTCTGAAAAGGAGGAAGTAGGAAGTGGTTGAAAGATGGTTTGGGAGCAGCCTTGGAAAGCCTAATTCATAGCTAAGTACAGGGCATTTGAACCCTCTTCTAAAGGAAGGTAATGATGGGTTTTTCTCTGTAAAAACTTTTTAATGAGATGAAGTTACATAAGCCACTTTAAGCACATTCGCATTTAGTACACTGAATGATTTTTTTATTTAAGAAGAAAAAGAAAAAAAACAAAAAGGGTACAAGTAACACAAAATTTAAAAAATAAACAGTAAGAAATCACTAGTTAATAGATTACATATTCTCATCTTAGAAATAGTTGTTCAAGTTACAGAATTAAAGCATATAAAGTGGACTTTCAAACAGTGAGAGTGCAAACAGTTTTGTTCAATGATCAAAAAAAAAAACCTCAGTAATATGGTTATCTATCTTACACACTTAAACATATATGCAGTTATAACCTTTAGAGCACTTTCTTTTCTTTTCTTTTGTACAATAACAATTACACATTTTGAGTTTTATTACTCTCACGGTTCTTATTACTTTTTTGAAAAGAGTAAAACCAAATGCAACATATCAGAACAGAGTCAGTCAAATCAAAAGGATGGACATAATAGATAATGTAAAAACAAAATACAAGGTGATCAACAATGGTTGCCATACTGTCTCTTGCTATTTTAAGAAGAATTGCCTATATCATCAGTTATAATAAAATTGAACAAAACAGTAAAGAATAAAACCAAAACATTGGAGACATTACAGGACTTTAAAAGAAGATAATGCTCAACCAGAATGGGCTCATAATGAATCTTACTGTCTTCACAGTTGTTGCCTATACTTTCGAACTTGGTACTATTAAGCAAAGCAGAATAGGGGAAAATCAGTCAAAACAAGATGGTGAGGGCAATACAGGATTTCAAATCAACTTAATAGGAAATCAAAGTAGGTTACTATAATGTATCCTGCTATTTTTTATTTTTCCCTTAATTAAGAAGATAAAAATAAAAAAAGTAAATAATTAAAAAAGGGGGATTCAGATAAAAGAGGGCATAACAACAGAACAGCACAGGTCAAACCATAACCATTTAAGCAAAATAGTGTTCCACCACAAGAGATCCTGACATAAAAATAGTTACCATAGTGTCTCCTTCCTTGAAATCTTTGAGTATAATTTTGTATACTGTAGCACTGAACATATCAAGATACTATAAAACCATTCAAGAGAATGATATTACAGGGTATTTAGAGCCAGTTAGCAGAAAATGAACAATGGTTTCTTTATAATCTCCTTGTCTATAAAAGTTTTTGCTTATATTATCATATACAATAAAATCCAATAAGATACAACCTTTTAAGACCGATGGAGGCAGAAGAAGTTTGATGGGACTTCAAAACAAGATGATACTAAATCAGCGCTAGCTATTATGATGTCTTGTTTTCTGCAAAATAGCTGTTCCTACCATCCAATTTTCTCTGCCTCATTTCTGTTGAGCAATTTTTCTGTCGTTTGTTGTCAGTTTGTCTTCTTCATTTCGCTTTCTGCTTCATTCATTGTGGCCTCTCTGCCACTATTTATGGAATCTTGGTATTTTCCTTTTTAAGAATATCCTGCAGTATTCTATGTAGAGTTGAATTGGTGTTTGCAAATTTCCCTAGTTCCTCTTTATCCTGGAAGCACCTTGTTTTTACATCAATTTCTAGGGACTGTTGTGTAGGATATATCAATCTTGGCTGGAGGGTATTATCTTTCAAAGCTTGAATTATTTTCCCCCATGTTCTTTGTGATTTGATGGTTTGTCTGTAATTCTGATGGGTGTTCCCTTGTAAGTGATCTGTTTCTTGTCTCTAATGGCTTTTAATATTTTGTTCTTATATTGGATTTCTGGAATTTTGATTATTGTATGCCTGGGTGTAGCTCTGTTGGGGTTGTAGGTGGCTGGGGTCCTGTATGCCTCATACATCTGAGTATCTTTACCATTTGCTAAATTAGGGAAATTCTCTTGGATTATTTCTGTGAATAGCTTTTGTAGTCCATTTGTTTGTGTCTCTACTTCTTTTATGTTCTTAATTCTTAAGTTATAGATCCTCTTATCATCTTCTAGCCTTTGTATTATTGCCGTTTTTTTTTTTTTTTTTTGGTTATTTTTAAGAAGTTTTTCATTTCATGCTCCCATATTACAAATCTGCCCTCCAGTTCAGATAATCTATCCTTAGTTTCTTTCAAGCTGTTATGCCAGTTTTCAATAGAGTTTTTAGTTTCCTGGTAATCTCTTTGAACCTGCTTCATGTATTCTATGTTTTCTCTATTTTCTCCATCAAATAATTCTCCCCTTTTTTTCTGTTCTTCCATTCTTCCATCTGTTTTTTCTACGGTGGTTCTTAGCATTCCTCTAACTATTCTACTTACATCTTGCTTTAGGTCGTTAATAGCTTCATTCCTGAACTCATCTATGAGGCTCTGGAGATACTGCTTTATGTTTATTGGTGCTGTGTCTGATATTGCATGTTTCTCAGGATTGGGGGCCAAGGACTGTTTCTCGTTGCTCCCTCTTCCCATATTTTTTGTTCCTTTTATACAAGCATATATAGGAGGCCCAGTTTCTTTCTTTGTTGGTTACAGTTTGTTTGAATTGTGCTGGCTAGGTGTTCCTGCCCACTGCAGTGTACTAGGGAGACACAGACCTGGGCAGCCTCTGCTGGGCCTGCCCCTCCAAGTCAACCTACCAAAGGCTTCAACACTAGGGTGCACTCCAGGCACTGGGACCTGGTTTGGGATAGCTTACTGGGTCTTAGTCAGCAGCGTCATCCAAGCCATGCACTCCCCACCAATCCTGCTTGAGAGGGGAATATGTGACTGAAGTCACTGCAGTGCCCTGTTCCAGCTAGTCTGCCCGGTCCCAATATGTCCTTCGCTGAAGCCTCCTACTCTATGGAGGTGTCCCTGATCCGCTCACTCACCGCAGGTCGATGCAGGGCTCCTGGCCAGTCCCGCTCTCAACTCCATTCACCACTTCCCACTTTCAGAGCTTTCCCACCTCTCTCCTTGCCCTGCCGATTGGGATGCAGCAGCAGCTGCAGGAAATTTAAATCACGGCTTCCAGTGGCGCAAGCTCCTGCTTCCTTATCTGTTCCTGTTATATCACTGGGATTGTGTTTCCAGTTGGTTAGTTTCTCTTAGTTTAGTTCATTCCTGGGTTGGTAAAGTATATCTCCCCTTGCTTAGGACTTATTGCCCCTCACCATTCCTGGATTTTAAGTGCAGTTTCTCAGAGAGCCTCCAAAGCTGCTGCTATCTATCCCCCATGTTCTCCTGGAAGTCACACTAAATGATTTTTAAATAGGAGAGTGACTTGATCAGAAATGTGGCACAGTATACTGTGCAGCAGTCCAGAGATGGATTGGAGATTGACTAAGAAGTGTAGAGAAAGCATGACTGGAAACTGCAGTGCTGTAAAAGTGGGACGCAACAGTAAGGATAGAGAGATAGGGACAGGTGAAAGTTGATGGAGAAAGATTCCAAAGAGTAGATAGATGATGTCATGGTTTACGTCTGTGGCCCCCAAGCCTCATGAGTTTGCACTGTGCATTTGTGATGGTTCATTGTCTAGTGCTTGAGTTGATAGTGTCAACCCACCCACATGTGGGTGGAGCTAGGATGTGATGTAATGGCAGGAAGAAGGTGTGTCTTGCTTTTTGCTGGTTCCTGCTTGTTGTTTGCAGCCACCATGAACTGTGGCCCAGCCATGCCCGCCTGTCTTGGAGCTAACTGAGTATGGACTGAAACCTCGAAAAACTGTAAGAAATAAACCTTTCCTTTCCCAACTTGGGCTTCAGGTATTTTGTCTCAGCAAGGAGTAAAAAGTAACTAAGACAGAATTTGGTACCAAGGAGTGGGGTCATTTGCTGTGACTATACCTGACCATGTTTTTCAAGAGGCTTTATAAATGGCCTGTGGGCAGAGTTTGGAAAGGTTCAGACATGTTACTTGGAGGCATAGAGCTGGAGCAGCTTAGGTTGTTCTGTAGAGGAAATTCTGGTCAGTGCTCAGGAGACCAGAAGGCTGATAGAAAGCCTGATGGTAAAGACCAGGCTTGGGAGGTTTCTGCTGGGAAGAAGGACTGCATTGGTTGTTGGACTTCACATGATATGTGTTATGGCTTGGCAGAAAGTTTGTTTGCATTTTGCTCCTGCCCAGAGACTTTGCGTGAGACTGAGACAAAGGACTATGGATTGATTAGTCTTGAAAAAGAAATTAAAAAGGAATCCAACATTGAGGCTGTGGCATGATTACTGTTGCAGGCTTTTAGCCAGCTTTATGTTACAAATCAAGAGCAAAGAGCCCAGCAGGATAATCTGCAATACTGTGAGTTTGACCAGAAGGAAAATTCTAGGAAGGCTGTGGATTGTGAAGTCAGAGTTGAGATTTTGATTGCTGAGGGGAAACAGAGAGATAAGAAAGATGGGCCCGGGGCATCCCAGGAAGTGGGTCCCCAACCTTTGCAGGCTCACTGCAAAGGTGAAAGAATTTGCTCAGAGGAGAAGGCTGCAGAGCACCATGCTCCAGAATGGCGACTGAGACCACATGAGGTTCCAGAATGGCGACAGAGGCCACGTGAGGAAGAATGGCAGCAATATAGAGAAGCTTTTCCTCACAATCAGGTAAACAGAGGCCTGAGGTCCAGGCAACTGACCCCTACAGTCAAGAGAGAGAAAAGCCTGGCTACTGCTCCAGCTAGCAACAAACCTTGGCAGCATCCACAAGGTGCTGATTTTCAGTGCAAGGAAAATGCACAAATTCTGAGGGTAAGATGGCTTCCACCCCAATTGCAAATGGCCTGGCAGGCCAAACAGTATGCCCCTGAGAGGGCAATTTGTGAAGAAGTAAAGGTGAAGCCAAAGGTATAGTGGAGACCCCAGAAGTTTGGAAAAACCAGGAATGTGGATGATCCAAGGGAAGCTGCAAAAAGTGAGCAGAGAAGATTTAGTAGAAAAGCTGCGGGAGTTGAAATCACCAGATTTCAACTGGGGGGTGGAATCACCCAAGCCTTTTGGAGCTTGCAACCAGTTTGCTTCAGATGCTGAGCATGGATGCTGGATGTTGGGCTTGCTTTGTTTCCAATACTTTCTATTGCCCTGTTTGTAACTTTTTGCATGGTAATGTTTATCCTGTGCTTTTGCATTTTAGAAATGTTAACCTTGTTTCATTTGTACAAGGGGTTACAGTTAAGAGTTTACCATAGATCTTGGAGGAGACTTGGGACTTGGACTATTCAGCAATGCTGAAACTGTTAGGACTTTGGCAACTCTTGGAGGTGGACTAAATGTCTTTTGTATAAAGGATATACATGAGTCCTGGGGGCCAGGGGTGGAATGTCATGGTTTACCTCTGTGGCCCTCAGGCCTCATGAGTTTGCATTGTGCATTTGTGATGGTTAATTGTCTAGTGCTTAGGTTGATGGTGTCAGGGCTCCACCCACATATGGGTGGAGCCAGGATGTGATGTAATGGCAGGAAGAAAGTGTGTCTTGCTTTTGGCTGATTCCTGCTTGTTGTTTGCAGCCACCATGAATTGCGGCCCAACCATGCCCACCTGTCTTGGAGCCAACTGAGTGTGGACTGAAACCTCCAAAAACTGTAAGAAATAAACCTCTCCTTTCCCAACTTGGGCTTCAGGTATTTTGTCTCAGCAAGGAGTAAAAAGTAACTAAGACAGATGGTAAGGTAGAAATGGAAGGAAGAGGAAGGAGAAGCGATGTCATCCAGAAATGAAGACTGTAGCCTTGGAAACCATCTTTGTAAAAATCATAGGTAAAACTTGAAGATTGAATAAGGTTAACAAAGGATACCAATGTTGAGAGATAAAGGCCATAAAGTAAATGTACTTTAGGAAAACAAACTTTCAGGGATGAAAGGAAGGGAAAAATGTAATGTATAATATGTGAGTGTTTAGCAAAATTGAACTAGAAGAGTTTGTATGACAGAAGATTGGAGAAAATATAAGAATCTGATCAAATACTGAAGGAAGGGGCTGGAGATTTAGCTCAGTGGCATAAGTGCCTATCTGGCAAGTGTGAGGTCAAGTTCAGTCACCAGCACCAAAAAAACCCCCAAAAGCAAAAAAACAAAAAACTGAAGAAAGATTCAAAACCTTAAAAACTTGAGGAAGGCCATTAATTTTGATAACATAATGTTGGTGATTTAAAATAGTTATAGAACTTTGTTAAAAAGAAGTAGACCAAGAGTTTTGTCACTGAAAGAGAGAGACACATAAGATTTGTTACCTCACAGGAAGAGCTTTAGGTTCTAGGAAAGGAAAGATTAAAGAGGGGGAAGGGTTCAGGGAAGGAAGTAATAGTGAGCTGGAGGATCCAAGAAAGGGAAGATTGGAACGAGCAAAATCACCGAGTATTTGGAATGGAGTAATGAAGGCATAAATTTGTGACAACAAAAGCAAGGATTACTATATAAAGAAGTAATTGGAGAAATGTAAAACTGGATCTAAAAGTTGAGAGCTTGTTCTTACTTTGTTTCAGTAAAGTAAGGAATTTGGATTTATTTTATTAGCCAAACTGAGTAATTTTTAATTTTTTAAATTAAAGTTGGTGGTTTGTAAAATGACTTGGGACTACCATAAGAAATACAGTTACAAAATCTTGGAGAGAAGTAGGACTTCTTAAATCGTGAAATAAACTCATTTCTCCATGACAGTGAGGAGAGGATACTTGGAAAGCCACCAGAGTCAGTGTTTTCAAGACTCTAGAAGTTAACTCAAAGCTTACAGCAATGTAAGTTCAAAAAAGATGCAGGATCCTACTAAGACCTGTGGGGTTTGTGATGTTTTATCTTTTTCTATCTCCATTTTCACTTCCTAGCCTGTGCTGTCTTTGGAAACAAGCAGCTTTCCAGTGATGGAAGGGGTGGATTGAGCTTGGAACTCTTCAGAAGGCCCCACACCAAGGTCAGTGTTCCAGGGATCTGTCTCATGGTTCTCTATAGCCTCACTGTCTATAGCCTGAAGTGTGTGCTGGGCCATCTCTCGTGCCTGGGTCTGGGAGCTCAGGAGAGCTGACAGTTCTTCAGGGAGGTGTAGGTGGGGATTTCAGGTGTGCTGCTGAGAAAGATCTTTGCTACCTTTAACCGTCTTCTTTTTTTAGTTAGAGAAAAAAAGAAAAACAGAAGAAAGAGTAGAAATAATACAGAATTTCAATAAAAATGTAAGAAATCACTAGTTGATAAGTTATATATTGTCATCTTAGAAGTACTTGCTCAAGTCACAAAATCAAAGTATGAAAAATGGACAGTCAATCACAGTATAAAACATTCTGTTTGATAAACTAACAAAAACTTAGTACTATGGTTATCTATCTTGTACACTTAAACATACATATAGTTATATCCTTTAGAGCGCTTTCCCTTTCATTATCACAAAATCTGTTTTACATTTTGGATCTTATTACTCTTTCAGGTTATTATATTTTTATGCTAGAGAGATAATACAGTATAAATATAAGTCTTATTTATTTTACTTATGAGAATAGTCTCAAGTTGCCTCCATTTACCTATAAAAGCCTCAAGATTATCCTTCTATATAGCCAAGTAATATTCCATTGTATAAAAATACCACATCTTTTTCATCCATTCTGTGGTTGACGGGCATTTTGGTTGTTTCCAATATTTAGCTATTACAAATTGCACTGCTATAAGCATGGGGGCATATATATTGCTGAGACACGACCTTTTCAATTTTTCTTGGAAAATACCCAGGAGGGGAGTAGCTGGATTGAATGGAACTTCCAATCCTAGTCTTTTGAGGAATCTCCATACTGTTTCCATGGTGCTGCACCAGGCTACACTCCCACCAACAGTGTAGGAATGTTTCTTTTTCTCCACAACCTCACTAACATTTGTTATCAATTGATTTCTTGATGGCAGCCATTCTTTCTGAAGTGGGATGAAATCTCTTTTTTAAAAAATTTTATTTAAGGAGAAAAGAAAAAAAAAAGCAGAGAAAGGGTACAAGTTATACAGATTTACAGAAAAAAAAATAAACAGTAGGAAATCACTAGTTAATGGATTACATATTGTCATCTTAGAAATAATTGTTCAAGTCACAAAATTAAAGCTTGTAAAGTGGACATTCCAACAGTGATACCGCAAACAGTTCTGTTCAATGATCCAACAAACCTCTGTGATATCATTTCCTATCTTATACACTTAAATATACATCCAGTTATATAGTTTAGAGCACTTTCTTTTCCTCTCTTTTGTGCGATGATTATTACACATTTTGGGTTTCATTGCTCCCACGGTTCTTATTACTTTTTTGGAAGAGAGTAAAACCAAATGTGACATAACAGAACAGAATCGGTCAAGTCAAAAGGGTGGACATAATAGATAATGTAAAAACATAATACAAGGTGATCAACAATGGTTACCATAATGCCTCCTGCTATCTCTAATAGAATTGCCTATATCATTAGTTATAATACGATTGAACAAAACAGTAAAGAATAAAACCGACAAAACCAAAACATTGGAGACATTGTAGGTCTTCGAAAGTAGATAAAAGTCAACGAGAATGGGCGTTATAATGAATCTCATTAACTTCACAGCTGATGCCTAAACTTTCGAACCTGATACTATCCAGCAAAACAGAATAGGGGAAGAGATGAAATCTCAATGCTGTTTTGATTTGCATTTCTCAAATGACCAGTAATGTTGAACATTTCTTCATGTATTTATTTGCCCCTTGTATATCTTCATCTCAGAAATGTGTGTTCATCTCTGATGCCCATTTGGAGAAGGTCTTTGAATTTGGGGGGTTTGATGTTTTTCAATTCTTTATATGTTCTGAATACAAGTCCTTTGTCTGAGTGGCTGCTGCCTAAAATTCTTTCCCATTCTGTGAGTTTTCGTTTCACTTGTTGGTGACTTCTTTTAAAGTACAAAACCTTTTGAATAGTGTGAGATCCCAGTCGTTGATTCTTTGAAGTACTTCCTGTGTGGTTTGTGTTTTGTTCATGAATTTTTGCCTACCCATATGTCTCTAAGATTTCTACCTACCTTGTCTTTAAGTAGATTTAGTGTTTATATTTTAATATTTAGATTTTTGATCCATTTTGATTTTAGTTTTGTGCATGGTAATAGGCGTGGGTCTAGTTTTTGTCTTTGGCATATGAAAGCCAAATTCCAACATCATTTATTAAAGAGGCTATCCTTTTCCAGTGAACATGTTTAGCCCCTTTATCAAATATAAGGTAGCTGAGTCTTTGGAGTTGTATTTGCATCTTCTAATCTATTCCATTGATTCTCAGGTTTTATTTCTTTGTCAGCATCATGCTGATTTTATCACTGCAGCTTTATAGTATAATTTTAAGTCAGGGATAGGTATGATTCCTGCCTTCGTTCATGCTCAGGATTGCCTTTGCTATTCAAGGGCTCTTCTGTTTCCAAATGAACTTTAGAAATGTTTTCTTTAGCTATGTGTGGTATGTTAATGGTACTTTGATTGGTATTGCATTGAATGTGTATAACAGTTTTGGAAGTATGGCCATTTTCAGAGTTTTGATTCTTCTCAACTAAGAGCAAAGAATATCTTTCTATTTTCTGACATCCTTTTCAATCTCCTTTTAAAGAGTACTATAGTTTTTAATGTATAGGTCTTTTACATCCTTTGTTAGGTTGATTCTTACGTGTTTCATTTTTTAGATGCTATTGTGAAATTATTTCCATAATTTCTCTCTTAGTGAATTTTCTGTTTGTGTACAGGAATGCTATTGAGTTTTGAGTGTTGACTTTGTATCCTGCTACACTGCTGAATTTGCTTATTAACTCTAATAGTCTTTTGGTGGAGTTTTTTGGGTGTTCTATTAGAGCATCATGTCACCTGTAAACAGTGATAATTTAACCTATTGCTTTTCTATTCTTACCCCTTTTATTTCTCTTTTCTGTCTAATTTCTCTGGTGAATGTTTCCAGAACTATATTACATAAGAGTGGTGATAGTGGACATCCTTGTCTAGTTCATGATTGTAGAGTGAAAGATTTCAGTTTTTGTACATTTAATATGACGTTGGCTGTTGGCTTTTCATAGATGGCTTTTTTTCAGATTGAACTAGAGACCATCTATTTTTGATCTTCTCTAGAGGTTTTACCATGGTAAAGTGTTGGACTATATCAAAAGCTTTTTCTTCATCTATTAAGGTGATCATGTGTTTTTTTTTTTGTTTTTGGCTCTGTTTATCTGGTGTATTACATTTATTGATTTGCATATGTTAAACCATTGTTGCATTCCTAGGATAAATTCCACTGGTCATGGTCTATAATTTTCTTGATGATTTTGCTGCATTCTATTTGCTCATATTTTATTGAGAATTTTTTGCCTTGATGTTCTTTAGTGAAATTGGCCTATAACTCTCCTTTTTGGTTTGGTCTTTCTCTGATTTTGGTATCAGAGTAACACTTGCCTCCACGAATGAGTTAGGGAGAATTGCTTCCTTTTCAATTTCATTAAAGACTTTGAGGAGTTTTGGAATAAAATATTCTCTAAATTTCTTCCAGAATTTAGCTCTGAATCCAACAGGACCTGGGATTTTCTTTGTTAGTAAGTTTTTAATTATGTTTTCAATTTTAGTAACTGATACTAGATTATTCAAAATTTTTATATCTTCTTGATTCAGCCTTGGTAATTTACATGTTTCTAGTAATCTGTCCATTTCCTCTGTTCTTTCCACCTTATGTAAGGAAAGATTTTCAAGGTAGGGGCAGGGATTTTGCCCAGTGGTGTAAGTGCCTGCCTGGCAAGCATGAGGTGGTGAGTTCGATCCCTGGTACCAGAAAAAAATTTTTTCAAAATAGGTATTCATGATCTTCTGAAATGCCACAAGATCTATAGTAATTTCACCCTTTTCATTCCTTATTGCACAAGTCTGGGTTTTTTCTTTCTTTTCCTTGATAAGGTTGACTAGGTGTTTATCAATTTAGTTTGCTCTTTCAAAGAACCTACTCCTCATTAATTCTTTGTATTGTTTTCTTAGTCTCAATTGTATAAATTTCTGCTCTAATCTTCATAATTTCCTCCCTTCTGAGCTTTGGCCTTGCCTTGCTCTTCTTGATCATGTGTTTCTTTGTTTTTGGCTGTGTTGATGTGGTGTATTACATTTATTGATTTGTATATGTTTTTTTAAAGCCATTCCTGGAATAAATCCCACTTGGTAGTGATGTATAATCTTCTTGATGATTTGCTGTATTCTATTTTATTGAGGATTTTTGCATCGATATTCATTAGGGAAATTGGCCTATAGTTCTCCTTTTTGGTTGGGTCTGTCTCTGCTTTTGGTATGAGAGTAATACTTGCTTCCAGGAATAAGTTAGGGAGGAGTGCTTCCCTTTCAATTTCATTGAAGAGCTTAAGCAGTATTGGCATCAAACCTTCTCTAAATTTCTTGCAGAATTCAGTTGTGCATCCATCAGGGCCTGGGCTTCTCTTTGTTGGTAAGTTTTTAATCATGTTTCCAATTTCAATAGCTGTTGTTGAGTTATTCCAAATTGTTATATCTTCTTGATTGAGCTTTGGTAGTTCATATGTTTCTAGAAATCTGTCCATTTCCTCTGTGTTTTCCACCCTATGTGACTAGATTTTCAAAATAGGTATTTATGATCTTTTGAATTTGAATGAGATCTGTACTGATTTCTCTATTTTAAGTCTTTTTGTGCGTGGATTTGAGTTTTAATTTTTTCTTACTAAGGTTGGCTAGAGGTTTATCAATTTTGTTTATTCTCTCAAAAAGCCAGCTCTTTGATTCATTAATTCTTTGTATTTCTTTAGTTTTAATTGCATTAATTTCTATTCTGATATTTATAATTTCCTTTCTTCTTTTTTAAAAAAATTTTATTTAAGGAGGAAAAAAAAGCAGATAAATGGTACAAGTTATACAGATTTACAGAAAAAAAATAAACA